GGAAGAAATTGTCGGCCCCAGGAGTTGATCGTATCACCTATGATATGCTGAAGTCCCTGAGCCCACAAGTGACTAAGCTAGTCTTGATCGAACTGAACAACTACTGGAGACGGGGAAGCCTACCATAGCATCTGAAGGAAATTCGTATCGTCGTCGTGCCAAAGCCCGGAAAGGATAACACCACTCCAGCGGGGAATAGACCAATATCCCTTGTACCTACACTAACAAAAACGCTAAACTCTGCTGTTCTAGATGGACTAAACCAGTTTATCGACAAACAGCAAATACTACCCAACCTATCATTCGGTTTTCGTAAAGGACAGTCAACGAACACTTGCATCACATACGTTACGAACCTCATCCAAGCTAACCGGAGGAGCGGACTAACCACAGTCGGAGTCTTTCTGGACTTAAGCAACGCTTTTAACGCGGTTCGCACAGACAAGCTGGAAGAAATAATGACCGGATTCAACGTACCCCAAGAATACATTCGATGGATCACAGTATTTTTGCGAAATCGAACTGTGATTATGAAAACTGAAACGGAGGAAATCAAAAGGACTGTTAGCAACGGATTGCCGCAGGGTGATGTACTGTCACCGGTCTTATTCAATTTGTATACGGCCGGTTTGCACGAAATCGCAGGTGAAGATACAGTTCTAGTCCAGTATGCCGATGATTTTTTCATTCTCGTCTTTGGGAATAACCTTGACAGTATCACGGTCAAGGCACAAGCAGCCATCGACAGAATCGAAAGAAAATCAGCCGAATTAAATTTGGAAATCAACCCAGATAAAACCAAAGCGATGATTTTCAAGGCAAGCAAGGTGACACTGGGAGTAAAAGTCGGAGGAACTCCTATTGAAACAGTGCCAAGCTACAAATACCTAGGAATCTACATGGATAGAACGACTAGCTACGGAAAACACATTCGGGAGCTACGACATAAAATTCAGGAACGTATGAATATGATGAAGGTTATATCGAAAATAAAGCACGGCGGACATCCAGAGACGATGGGACTTTTGTATAAAGCTCTCATACGAAGTGTCATCGAGTATGGATGCACCATTTTTGGGAATTCTAGTAAAACTAACAAAGAATCGCTTCAAACCATGATCAATCAATGTTGGCGTAAAACAACAGGATGTTCGAGGACCACACCGAGGAACACTCTGGCAGCACTTGCAGCGGAAAGTCCGCTAGAAATACGAATGGAACAAGTAACCTGTAAAGAGATTGCGAAACACTTTTTGCACGGCAGTGTTGTCGCAGACCAACTCACGCTACTAGGTGGATCCGAAAAACCAGAGGACATGCTAACGTTAGTTGAACGCACTTATCTGAAACACCGACGCATCTTTGACGCGGTGATCCCGTCAGTCAGAGTGCACAATACCCAATCGATGGACATTCAAACGGTGCTTCTCAACGCAGCACCTGCCAAAAGAAACTGCGATCCACGAGCCCTGAAACAGACATTCTTATACCTACAAAACACTAAATACAAACACCGCCCGAACATCTACACAGATGCCTCAAAAATGGGGACCTCCTGTGGCGTAGGAGTATTCTGCCCAACCACGAACCGCAGAATCAATCTACGATTGGACATAGAGACCTGCATAATGACCGCCGAATTGTTCGCTATCTCAGTAGCATTGAAACACCTGCAAGAAGAACAAATCTTTGGAGCAGTACTCTTCACGGACTCACTATCATCTTGCCAATTGATAGAAGAGGAACTCGAGGAACGAAATCGCAACTCAATGATTCACGACATCATTGTTAAGGCGTCGTTCCTGAAAGACACGATCCAGTGGATCCCGAGCCACACAGCAATCAAAGGGAACGATATTGCAGACGAGCTTGCCAAAGCTGGCGCAGAATCGGAACGAATCTTGAAGAACGGAATCTTCATCAAGGATGCGTTAAATATGTTCAATCAGCTAAGAGTAGATAATACAAACAAATGGTATTCTACTTACGCTGAGGAAAAAGGCAAGCACTTCTTTGCTATTCAGCCAAATTACAGCGACCACACTTGGTACAAGGGCAAGCAACTCAGCAACAAAGAAGTCAGAACACTAAACCGCCTAATCGCCAGACACAGCTACGCCAACAACTGGCTAGCTAAAATGAAAATTGTTCAGGATTCTGAATGCGACGTCTGCCTGGCAGAGGACACGGCAGACCATGTAGTACTCCACTGCAACAAATACGCCATCACCCGCTCGGAATACGATTTCGACGGCAAATTCTGGACGCTGATAGACCTATTCAAATCAAACGACGTAAAAACTTTTCGAGATGTGTTTCACTTCTTGAAAAAAATAAAAATGGAATTGTAAACACAACAAACGAGTGCTTGACAGCTTGAGCGGGCAAGCACTTGGTGCCCGACTGCGTTGGCATCAAAAACTTCGACAAACAAAACCACTGGGCATATGGTCACTGACACCGGTCCCATCAAAAGCAAGAGAAGAAGAAGAAGAAGAAGAATAAGAAGAAGAAGAAGAAGAAGAAGAAGAAGAAGAGCTTAGGAAGGAAATGACTAAGCAAGGGCAGCAGATCACTTAGCTGTCGAAACGAATCGCATTCCGGCGATCTTATGCGTCAACTGCCATTAAAACGGCGCCGCGATGAAGGCTCGCTCACCAGCAAACCACTTGTTGGTGGTACTAAAGCAGTAACGGATGACAAAGTCCTTACCGAGGTCCTTACTGTCCCTGAACCCACCGAGCTGTTTTGGCTGTACCTTTCTCGTATACATCCTAACGTGAAATCGGAATCAATCGAGAAGCTGGTCAAAGGTGTGTACAGTGCGATGATCCGGATGATCCGATTAAGGTTGTACCGCTAGTTAAAAAAGAATCCGACATCAGCCGTATGAGTTACATATCGTACAAAGTCGGATTAGCTCCCAAACTACGTGAAGTTGGCAGAAAGGAATTTTGTTACGTGAATTTGAAGACGGTTCAAAAAACATGTGGATGCCTCGTTTGAACACGCCAGCCATTACGATCTCTCCTGTTCCGGGACCTTCCGAGTTCTCAACTCCCATCTCCGGACTAGACCCAGTATGCTGATTCATAATTTGATGCCGCGTTGTGAATTGGAACGCTGTAAACCAGAACGCACTGCTTGTCGCATTATGGGAGACCTCGAACCACTCGATCCAGTCGCGCTAGCTGTTTCCCGCCATCAAAGTCGTTCTGGACCTGCGGTCGAGTTCGGTGGTGGGGTCTCCCAACCATCGTTTTCAGGCAAGTATGCATACATTAGTTACAGTAATTTTCCTGATCAGCTTCCGTGTTCCAGTGCAACGCCTCAAGCATCTGCCGGCTGTTTCCAGTTGATAAGCACTTCTGATACTGCTCATTCACAACATCCGCTTTACTGTTCGAACAATAGACCCCTTTTGGTTCCTCCAGCCCAGTCGTGCCGATTCCTGCCAGCGTTCAGCATAGTCGTTCTGGACCTGTGGCTGGATATGAATCAGGAGTCTTCTACCTTGCCTCTACAGGCAAGTACAATCAATATATTGAATTTAACTGCCTGATGTCGATCGAATTTTTAGTAATTCCTATCCTGGGAACCCGGAACGCGCCGTAGAAAGCTTCATGGAAGCCCCCAATGCCTCCGTCTCAGTCCTGCCATCAGCAGCCTTCGTTCATCATTGTCGTCGGATGTGGAGATGGGGTCTTCCAACTCACTCACTATGGCGAGTATCCAATTGTCGCAGCAGTCCGACAAGGACTGGTACCATCACGGCAGAATAAACGTGCTGACTGAGTGCTTGGCTGTCCATGAGTCGTTTACTTCTCAATCATTCAGACTCTCACGCGGCAGTGAATGATGAGGTGGATGGCAGTTCCTATCCATATTCATAAATTATTCATTGAACCTGACTCTTTTGCGCACTGTTACCAAGATAGCAGAATTTTTTTCCGGGATCTTGAATTTCGTTTGAAGTCTTCAAAATTTGTCTATGAAAATTCTCGCAAAACTTTACCAGATTTAATTTGATTGGCATTTCCTTTAGAACCATTTTCCTGCATAGAGTTCTTTTAAGAATTCTTCAAAAATGCATTTGAGATTCTCTCTGGAACTCACTTGAAAATGTCTTTTTAACAGTTCAAAATGTTTAACGGAACGCTCCAAAAAATAAATTAAAACTTTTTCTAATCATTCACTGAAACTTTCTTTTAATTTGCTTCAACTCTCCATAGAATTCCCACACGCAATTCACCTCAGAATTGTCTTAAAATATTGACCAGAACTGTCTTTGAGTTCTCCTCTAATTTCTTCAGAAAATTCACTTGGAATTCTCCTTAAAATCTAATCTAAATTATCTAGAAATTATTTTCGAAATGCCCTTGGAATTATTTAATTACTCTTTTAAGAATTTCTTTTGAATTGTATGTACCCTCAAATTCGGTTCCCTTGGTATTTTTACGAACCCTGGAATACTCATCACAATCGTCATGGAATTTTCCTCACATCTAGGTACTTATCATTTTTACTCTGACTGGTGACTAAAATCTGCTAAAAGGTAAGGTTGGAAAACAAGGTGGCTGTATCGTGAAAATCTTGAGACAAAATTCCAGGTCCAAAATATTTGTTTTTTTTTTCGAGATGAGTCATCGAAGAGATTTAAGCTGAACATTGCATTCGGTCCTAAAAAAACATTGATCGATTCTCATTGTCGACTTTCTTCTTTTATCGTTATGCGTGCTGAAAATACCTGGGAATGTTACATGGCCGTGGGGATGCAAAGAGAAAGTCGACGAAGAAAATCTGTCAATGTTACTTAGGACCTAATGCAATGTTCAGCTTGATTTGTCATCGAAATTCACGGGGTTTTTACCGGTGACTTCAAATTCCCGGCTTTTACCCGGTTTTCCCGCTTCACTGGTCACGCTGGGTATTCCAAAACCATAAAAAAGGATTTCTTTCCTAAATGAATTTCAAAATAGTTCCTAATAAATCAATCGTTACAATTAATGCATCGACAGTGTATTCTTCTTTTTTTTTAGAAAACTGTTGAACTTGAGCTACATTTATCAAATTTGACTCCAGATGTTGTTAAAGTGGTTTGCTATTTTCGTTTCAAAACTACATAATTGTTAAAGTAGCAGCATGTTCTTGTGATTTTATAAGTGTTTGTGGAACCACTGAACCTTTTCCGGAAAACCTTCAAGCAGAGAGAGATACACTTCACTTCTTGCACATAATGGCACCCCGATGGTTGTAAGGAGGATCAATCGCGACACCAAAATTTCATTAGACTAAAATTATAAATATTAACTTACCTGATAGTTTTCTCCCATCCAGTCAAGTGCCCGTTGTGCCTCCATACATACACCGATGACGATCATTTGGCGCTGTAGTGAATGTTCCTCTCTAGCACTATGTGCCATATGCATTTTTTGTTCTATCATTAAGTTTGCTGAATATAATCCTAACAGTTGCAAAAACCTTAGCTCGTTCTGAAAAAGCTGTCTTTGATTAATTTATACATATTATTAAGATCCTAAGCTAGTTTAGTAGACTTTATCTAAAAATCGGTTCCAAGAATCCAGTGTGAGATAAAAGAAGTAACGCCCTACGCCAATAACGGTTAGGAGACGACGTGCAAGCTAGCTAATATCTTCTGTAGTTTTTCGATCAGTTCCCTGGAAAGAAAAGGCAAATTCTAGCTGTTGAAATCTGCGGATCACGGAGAGCATGCGGCAATACTTACACATGATTTCCGTTGGCCGGATCCAGCTGCGCCGCGACGTGCTGCAGCATAGCGATGAACTGGGTCATGCTCTGTACGACGGATGATCCCGCAGTCAGCCACACCCGCGGCAGGGTGTACACAATCATCGAGGCCTTGTTGATGGCATCAGTCGAGGTGCAGACGCGCATCCCATTCAGCAGGTACCGATTCAGCAGCGAACCGATGGCCAGCTCCGTCAGTGGCCCATCCGCGATGACGCCTTGCCAGCAGGTGATGTTGCGAAGCAGTTTCAGCCCGCTGCAGAACTGCCGCTGGAAGAAGGACGATTTGGCCTCCTGCAGTCTGTAAGTGAAAGATTGCGGTGTGCATTAGTGGTATAACTTGACAAGTGGAATATTTACACTAGCACTTACTGCTTGGGGAAGACTGGAATGAAGACATCGTTATCGATTGCTAGCTTCAGTTTGTCCAGAATTGCCTGGAATAGCAGGCGCAACTGTTTGCAGGTTCTCCTTAGCGATGGATAATCCCGACCTAATCGATTGATCAGCCGGACCAGTTTCAAGGTCTGTGTGGTAGACAGTGGGTCCCAGACCTGTTCAATCAGTACGGTCAGTTTAGGAAGAACGATTTTCTCAATAAGTGTAGGTATCAAGCGAACGTCCGGATCTTCAGCTAGACTGCTTTCGGTTTCATCTGGCTGTCGACCGTACAATACGCAATTTCGATACCATGCTTCCCGTTCGAAATCGATTGCGTCTTCTCCGCTGACCGGATTCCAAACGACATACTTCAACCGAATCAGCGGACCCAGAACCTTCGGTAGACACAGACTAACGTAGGCATCCTTATACGAATCCATCTCCGCGGCGCGCCAGTTTTGGAACTTTTCCAGTATCTCGTCCACTTCGCAGAACTCTTCTCCAGCATCGGCGAAAACTTGCTTCGCTTCCAGGGCTACCTCCTTTAGAGACGTTTGATACTGGGACACTTCAATGTCGGCTACTTCGTCATCGCTGGACATCCCGTCCAGATGGGATTCGGATGTTTCGTTCTTTTCACGATCCCTTCGTCGACGTGTCCGACGACCTTCCCGTTCCGCTGCCCGGCGAACTCGATCCGGATCGTCGTGCTGCCGTTTGAAGCCCTCTGTAATGGGGATTAAAAGTTACCACAAGCTGAAACAAAGCACTTTGTTAGATATACTCACTGTTAGCATCGGCCATCTCTTTGGCCTGATCCCGCACATCCTGTCGCCTCCGCTCGATGAGCATACTGGAGAACTTGGCCATCGTTCCGATGGTACGCTGTTCCAGTGCCACTATTTGGGGCAACGTTTCGTCTAAACACTCGACCAGATCGCTGACGTAGCACTTGATTTCCTGATAGAACCGATACTTGGCTGCCGCAACCGGTGCTTTCTGTTCGCTTTGCAGATGGTCCAGTTTAAGTACCTGCACTTCCTGAGTGATCTTCTCGATATCGATGATATGCTTGTAGTTCAATTCCTTCGTCGTTTGAAGCTTCTCGCTCAGCTGCTTCAGGATCTCCCGCGGCATTCTGGGGCCGGATGCTTTCTGATCCTTGCCAGCCGTTGCCACGCGCGATATGAGCCCAGCGGAGGCGGCCTTGGTGTTGGCCTTCGACAGTCCGGAAGTTTTTGCATAGGCTTGCGCCAGAAGGGCAGCCGTCGAGAGGCTAGTATCGTCTTCGTTGGACAGATACGACTGGCTGAAGCCTTGGATCAGGTACTGCGAAATGACCGATTCCTGGTGGGCGGAAACCAGCTGCGCTCCGGTGACGCCTTTGCGGATCTGTTGGTTTTCCCATTCCTTCGATTCCAGGTCGGACTCTTCGGCGGAATCTGGAAAATGGGAGGGGGATGCGCTACAGTTGGGTGTTTCAAAATTATGGGAAATCTGGTGTTTGCCAGGGAAAGCTCGGAAAAGTTGAAGACCTTTTATTTTGATTAGCTCATAATTTTCTACCACAGCGGGCTATAGTGGGCTAGGTACGTTGCACAAATGACGTAAGTAAGATAAGCTAAAATTATAGTAGCCAAAATAAATGGCACTTTGCATTCAACCGCCAAGTTGACAGTCCCAATTGTGTGTTTTTGAGATCTTCAACAGTAAGCCCTAAGTTGTTCGATGATAGACCCATAAAACAACCTAGTCTTCAAAATCAGGTAGGTAAGCCTTCAATGACCGGAACACTTACATTCAGTTTACAAATACTCCTACTCTCACTGTCAACACTTTTATATTTTGGGGATCAAGGTCCTATGTTATAAAACATTAATTTATTACCTCTAATTAACGGAAATCTATAATAACAAAAAAAAAATACAACAAATTACACTATGTTCAATTAATCTACTAAATTTTCACATACATGTTTGGACCAAAGACAAAATCTCTCACAAAATGCAAAATACACCATTTCTGATTCAGATCAACAATAACAAAACAACGATGGCTGATGAACCCACAGCGCGATCAACTGCATGCGCATATGTATGCGTGCCTTTCATTTGGTTCATCTTCATTTGCCGTCGAGAACTGTCAGTGGACGGGCGCGTTCACAGTAGTCGCCCATTAACAACTGGGTGCTCACTTTCACGGCAACCCTTTGACAACAGGGCGCTCAGTTTTACCGACGGCATCATTCCCCGTCCGTAAACCCTGTCGCTGGTTCACTCGGGAACAGTATGGGGATTACTCTTTTTCACCTCGATCTCCAAAACGACTAGCATCAATACTGATAGCAGTTTCTTACCCCGGCTGGTCTGCACGGATGCGCTTCCAGCAAACACTTGCCTCACCATGCCACGCTCCCAGGTGTTCCGCTTGTCATCGTCAGTCACAAACACCAGATCTCCGACCGACACTTTCCGATGGATCAAGTACCACTAAGACCGTCTATTCAGGGTCGGTAGGTACTCTCGCTGCCAACGATCTCAGAATCCATCAGCCAACTGCTGTGCTCGACTATAGCTGCTCCGCAACGTATCAGCCAAATCCACCGGAGTCCTCGATGTTAGACATTCGGCCGACGATCGACCACGCAGGAAGTGATTCGGTGTCAGCGCTTCTTTGTCTTCCTTCACGTTGGTTGATACGTACGTGAGTGGACGCGAGTTGACCAGGTTCTACGCCTCGATCGGAGCAGTCTGCAGGATCTCATCCGTCATGTGTGGCACCGAAGGTGGCTTGAACGACCAACGGGTTCTCGCACCAGTGAACGTGTCACCACACGCGACCTTGATCTCCTTCAGCAGGTCTCGATTGACACCGACAAAGTTCGTGCCGTTGCCCGAGAAGATCTCAATCGGACTGCCGCGCCGCTTCACAAATGTCCTAATCGCCATTTTGCCCGACTTCGTCGTCAGGCTCTACGCCACTTCCAAGTGCACCGCTCTGACAGTTAAGCACGTGAACAGTGCCACCCATACTTTCTCCTTCCTTTTTCCAACGGTCACTACTAGCGGTCCGAAATAATCGATGCCCACGTTCGAAAACGGATCGATCTTCGCAGCCAATCGCTGTTAGCGTTTAATGACACCGATAATGACCATGCATCAGAACCCTAGTCTTAACCACTTCAAACAAGAGAACAACGAATAGAAGATTAGAAATCACATAGATGAAGACTAACTAACTCATTTTTTTTCCTTGTTTCAAGATCATCCTCGGTGGGCAAAGCCGAGCCAAGGCATCAAAGTAACAAGAACTAAGACTTCCTTGGATTACTGACAAATCCTGTTCCCCTAGTTTGAAGTAGTCAGGACTAGGAATCGGTGGTAGATCTTACATCCCGTAACGCACCACGAAAAGGTGATCTACCCACTTTACGGGGAAAATACGTGCCGTTAAATGCTTGTTCGATGAACAACTTGCGAGTGTTATGCCTGTTTGTCTGTGATAATGCTGCATCAGTCTCTAGATCACCACGTGATCCTTCGGCATAATGATCGGGAACCTCACATCAAACGCCACACGGCGAATGAGAACGACCCAAATTTGAGTTTAGTTCACTCATAATCGCCAAAAGTACAGGAACTCAGCGATGAGTAAGTTTGTCTCATGGTTTACTGTGGAAAACCTTAAAAATCTGCCGGAAAATGAGGAATTTGACGAAAATTTTATTCAGTCTCGGAGTAGTACCAAGTGACTGAGTGAATCCAATCTTTACTTTTCTCAAATTCGGGAATTTTTCCCTGGAAAATCCTGGGAAAACATGAGGCAAATTTACTCATCGCTGAGTTCTTGCACGGCGAATGAGAACACCCAAATTTGAGTTTAGTTCACTCATAATCGCCTAAAGTGCAGGAACTCAGCGATGAGTAAATTTGCCTCATGATTTCCCAGGTTTTTCCAGGGAAAAATTCCAGAATTTGAGAAAAGTAAGGATTGGATTCACTCAGTCTATTGGTACTACTCCGAGACTGAATAAAATTTTCGTCAATTTCCTCATTTTTAGGTCGTTCTCATTCGCCGTGCACATAGTCAGCTGCCTCGGTCCGACCCTCCATCCGCACAACCTCATCTTCATCCAGATATGACGATTAACGATAAATCATACTCGACTTGATATTCTTCCTGCCTGCCGCAACGGTACCTTGACTGCTACAAACGATCCACACCCAGCTTGCTCAGCATCAATCGGAAACGCTTCAATCAGCATCTTCTTGATCCGGCGATGACAGTTAGACACAAAACGGAACACTACTGCTACCGTTCGCACCATCACCGTCCACCGATAAATATGCTGCATCCCCTCCATCAACCTCTCAGGCAACAGAATGTGATGCAGCTTGCACGTAGTTCTTCTTGAACCTCCATCACTGGACGTTTCTGCTTCGACCACTCTGAGACACATCTTTATATAGGAACTTCGGACCCCGATACCACCGACTCTCCGACTTGATTTCCGTTCCTTTTCCCCATTTTGTTAGGTCGTCAGCTTCGTAACCACCCAAAGCCAATCTTCAGGGTTTGTGATGCTGAGAATCTCTCCGAGTCGGTTTGTACCTTCCATGGTCGGACTTCACCCATGACACCACAGTATACGAATCGCACCACAGGAACCACTTCGAAACAGGAACGGAATGACTAAAGGGTGATACGGTCAAAATTTGGTCAATATCAACTTGACGTATTTCTTTCAATTTTGCATTTAAAAAACCTGAACACCCCTCATTTTGAAGGTGTGTGTGTGTAGAATGTTGCTCCTATTTTGATTTTGGAATTCACTCTTCAGTTGTCAAAATGCCGTCCAAGCAAGAAGAGCAGCGTATCAAAATTTTGCTCGCGCATCGCGAAAATCCGAGCTACTCGCACGCAAAGTTGGCAAAATCGCTAAAAGTTGCCAAATCAACCGTTACAAATGTAATTAAAGTGTTTGGGGAACGTTTGTCGACAGCCAGGAAGTCTGGATCGGGGGGAAATCGAAAACCGGAAGCCGCTGAGACGACAAAGAGAGTTGCCGGTAGTTTCAAGCGAAACCCTAACCTCTCTCTCCGAGATGCCGCAAATAAGCTGGGTGTATCGTCTACAACCGTGCATCGAGCCAAAAAACGAGCCGGACTATCGACTTACAAGAAGGTAGTGACTCCAAATCGCGATGATAAACAAAATACGACGGCCAAAGCGCGATCCCGGAGGCTGTACACGACGATGCTGACGAAGTTTGACTGCGTGGTAATGGACGACGAAACCTACGTCAAAGCCGACTACAAGCAGCTTCCGGGACAGGAGTTTTATACGGCAAAAAGAAGGGGAAAGGTAGCAGATGTTTTCAAGCACATGAAACTGTCAAAGTTCGCAAAGAAATATCTGGTTTGGCAAGCCATCTGTACCTGTGGCTTGAAAAGCAGCATTTTCATAGCTTCCGGGACTGTCAACCAAAAAATTTACGTGAAAGAGTGTTTGAATAAACGTCTGCTGCCTTTCCTGAAGAAACACGGTTGTTCCGTACTGTTTTGGCCGGATTTGGCATCTTGCCATTACGGTAAAAAGGCCATGGAGTGGTACGCCGCCAACAACGTGCAGGTGGTTCCCAAGGACAAGAACCCTCCCAACACGCCAGAGCTCCGCCCAATTGAGAAATACTGGGCTATTGTCAAGCGGAACCTAAAGAAGACCAAAAAACTGCTAAGGGCGAGCAGCAGTTCAAGGCAAACTGGCTTTCTGCGGCGAAGAAGGTGGACAAGGTGGCTGTACAAAATCTGATGGCAGGGGTCAAGCGTAAGGCCCGGCAATTCGGATTTGGAAAAGCGGAAGCCTAACTGAATATTTTTCCTGAATTTTATACTAATTGAACTTGAAAAAGAAATTTAATTTGATTTTTTAAATAAACGATTTCACCGATTTACACGCGTTTTCCCTTGACCAAATTTTGACCGTATCACCCTTTATCGCAGACATGCTTGGCATACACAATTGTACACACCAACTGCTCATTTGTTAATAACTTTTCCCTCAGTTGTTGAAATTTGTTTTTCTTTAAAGTAATTGATAGATTAGGATCATAGTTTACTATAGATTTGCAAAGAGTAGGTAAATCTTAACATTTGAATCAACGCCAATGATTTTTTACACTTAAAGTACGAGATATGTAGCGAGCATTTCTCACTTCATTTTTACAAGGCAAAAACAAATACAGTTTATTACTTGAATTAAAATCTACTTGTTTTTCCGTATCTATAACAAGCTTAAACTCTATAAAGAACTATGTTACGTCAACTGTGTGCGCAGTTATTAGCAAATGAGCAGCTGGTGAGTACAACTCTGCCTATAATCGCCTATCAGTCCCATATGGATTTTCGTCAATTTTGAGATAACAACGCTTTCCACTATCAAT